CGAGAAAGTGAGCGGTTTATGGTCCGTGAAAAGAGTGAATTCACGACCTTCGATGTAGTGTTGAAAATGCCGTACAGCACAATACATAGCTAGGAGTTCCCTACCGAATGTGCTGTACCTCGATTCGGTGTCTAGCAACCGTCTAGAGAAAAATGCCAAGGGTTGCCAGGAGTTGTTAACCCATTGTTGTAAGACTCCTCCGATTGCCAAGTCGGATGCGTCTACTGCGATGCTAATGGGTGCTCGGGTGTCCTGATGTGCGAGCATTGTTGCTTTAGCAATCAGTTCCTTAACTGTGGAGAATGCTTTTCGTGCGCTGTCGTCAAAATTAATGGATTTCGCATTTCCACGAAGTTGGTCGGTTAGAGGTTTCATGAGTAATGCGCATTTCGGTATGAAACGTCTATAGAAACTTACGAGGCCGTTAAACGTGCGTAATTGCTTGACGGTGGTCGGTTCTGGGTAATCTAGAATGGCCGCCACTTTGGTCCTAAGGGGTCGAATGCCTTGAGCATCGATAGTGTGTCCTAGGAAGTCTAACGAGTCGGTTCCGAATTGGCATTTCTGAACGTTTACAGTTATGCCATGTTTTTGAAGTCGTTCGAAAACAAGATCCAGATGCTTGAGATGTGTTTCTCTGTCCGGACTTGCGATTAGACAGTCATCAACATACACGTGTACGAAGTTGAGACCTCGAAAAACGTCGTCTATGAATCTTTGGAATGTTTGAGCAGCATTCCTTAGACCGAAAGGCATACGCAAAAATTCATAGAGTCCGAAAGGAGTTATGATAGCTGTTTTCGGTATGTCGTCAGTAGCCATAGGGATTTGGTTATACGCTTTAACCAAGTCGATTTTCGAAAAGACAGTTGTACCTTTCAAGGTAGCTGTCAAATCGTGAATGTGAGGCAACGGGTAACGGTCGGGAATGGTTTTCGCGTTCAATCGCCGATAGTCACCAATTGGACGCCAATCGTTGCTGTCCTTTTTAGGGACCATGTGCAACGGAGATGCATATGGGCTACTTGACGGTCGTATGATTCCTAAGTCCATCATGTGATCGAATTCGTTTTTCGCTAACCTTAGCTTTTCGGGAGCTAGTCGTCGTGCTTTAGATAATACAGGTGGTCCTGTAGTCGTGATGTGATGTGTAACATTACTGGTTACACACGGCAGTTTCGGTTGAGTTTGTTGTATCCCCGGGTACTTATCGAGTAGTGGCTGATAAAGTGGGTCGATCATATGCTTAACTGTGACTGGGGATAACCTACAACCAGTGAGAGAAGTTACGCAAACGGACAAATTAGTGTTTCCGTCTACTAGCCTCCGTTTGCGCGTGTCGATGATAAGATTATGGTGTTGTAGAAGGTCCATACCAATGATTGGCATAGAAACATCTGCAACAACGAAAATCCAATGGATGGGTTTGCGTAAACCCACGTTAAGGTAAACGTACCTTTTGCCATACGTAGCGATCGGTTTTCCGTTTGCCGCCTGTAAGTTTAGGGTCGATTCGTGAAGTCGGTCGTTAGGATTCGCTGGGAGAACGCTAACTTCTGCGCCAGTGTCGACGAGGTAGCGAACTCTCGTTGTCACATCTGTGACGAATAACAGACGGCTTTGTTCGCCGGCTACGGTTGCCGTTAACGCGTGCCGGCTTGGAAGTTTCCCGAATTGCTTTTCGAATCAGTCGGTTTCGTGTTGGGAAAATTGCAGGGTTTTCTGCAATTTCTGGAAAACTTTCCATACTGGTTATGATACCAGCACCAGTCGGGGTTATCTGTCTCTCGTCGTCTAGAGACAGATCGCTTACGTGAAATGCTTCTACTTGGTGTGCGCGATCTCTTACGGTCGGTACGAAGACTAAGATAACGCGTGAGTGTGTGACATAAGTCGGTTATATCATTCTGAGTCGTGTGAGGCTTTTCTTTGACTGAAAATACCTCGGTAGTAGAAGGTTTCGTAATTTCTAAAATGCGGTCGGCAGATGCAGCTAGCTCGTCTAAGGCGTTGTTCTGGAACGAGACCAGAACTGCTTGCACCTGTTGGGGAAGTTTTGACAAGAAGAGTTGTTTGAGTAGACCTTCGTCGAAAGTTCTTGGGCCTATTACCTCTCTCATCCGTTGCAACATGTCCGTCGCAGAACCGTGTTGCAGGTCTATGTTATTGAAGAGTTGATCTAACCTTTGTCGATCAGTTAGATCTCCTCGTTTAAGAATCGAGCGTTTTAAGATTTCGTAAGGATCGGAAACATCACTAGTAAACATACTAGGCGTTACGTACCTGTTGAATTCGCGTGGTAGTGCCTTGACTACTGCGAGGAATTGTGCACGTGTGTCGATCACGCCGTGCTCGTGGAAGTCGGCTTCTGCGTAGCAAAACCAGGCTTCGATGTTGTCGGGCCAGAAAGGCATCAGTTGAAACGAAGGTGGGGACAAGGTCTTAAGCTTGAGTACTTTAGGTGTCTGTTCAGTCATGATGAAATATGAAGTACGACAATGAACGAGGGGAAGAAATATATATATATCCAAGAAAAAATACGAAAAAAATCACAATGTTTAAAAAAATAAAAAAGTAAGGCAATGATATATAAAAATCCCGAAAAGGAACAGACTCACAGTTGCAATTAGGTGTACCAGATCACGTCGGGCTCACCAATGATGATGTCTCAGGTATTCAGTGTTTGACAACGCTTCTACCAGTAACACCTTCTAATGTATTTCGTTCCCACCCAGAGAAATCAAAAGACAGAGTCGAGGAGATCGGAAGAGTATATTTGGCGATGACCAATATATCGGAATTCTCTGCTCTAATCTGGCTAGCGATTGCGGTTGATGTTGAGCACGGCGTTACCACACGTGATCTGGTGCGGATGCATGACCGAGCGCCTTCAGCTAGATGAGTCCACTAAAACATATGGTCAGCATCCAATGTCGAAAACTTAGGGCTATTTATTTTGGGGATTTATTTACCGCTACAACCAGAACTGACTATAAAATTGTTGTCTAAAATACCTGATGTTTGTTCTTCCGTTCTGTTTTTGAACACCCATTGATTATCGCTCACAAATATACTGCTACACGGGTGATCTTATCCGCAACGCAACCATGTAAACTTGATGTATCGCACACTGTCATTTGTGGGTTCAAGTAACCACAGTATTTGTCATTTCATAATGTATTTCTAATTAAATAACTAGATTATGCAGCTAATTTTGCTCTGTTTTTAATTTTTATTCGCCACGTCTGACTGCGTTACACTGTACGTCCGTTGCAGGCCGGGATGATATCTCAAGTCATAGTGAGATTATTCATATAGTTGATTGTTTCCAGATAGACCGTCAGTGCATGATGTTACCGAAGAAAGGTTTGTTGTACTGTAAACTATGTTTTTATGAACAACTGCCTGTTGTCGTCAGTATCAAAGCAATATATATTTCCTTTGTCTTCTGTTAGGTAAGTTCAACTGGCCTATATTTCGTGTTTTGGTTTTATCGTCTTAATTATGTCCATTTAACTACTTTAAGCAACATGTCTGTGCAAATGAAACAATAACTATGACACTTGCTTAGTTTAGTATTCTTGGTTGTCATATAATTCAGTTTAATTGAAAGAATTATGGTATACTTAAGTATAGTGCTTGAAGCCTGTAACGAAACAGATCAGTCTAGTAAGTAGAGTTGCCTGTTTCTGATGAGTATACTGATTGAAATCAGTCTGATTAAAAATAGGAAAAAAATGCCTTTGGTACTGTTGCTGTTATACATTATAAGATAGCTTTAAGTACGTTTGGTGTTTATTTGTAGACAGTACGTCTAACACTGTTCATGTTTCAAGACCACTGCCATTAAACAAATTCCCCGGCAATAACATCGGTAGCGAGATAGCTAGGTGTCTGAGCTTTTATTTGCCTGCAAAACAGCAGTATACAGTCTTAGATGAGGAGTGTTCAGTCTTAATTAAATGCTGCTGGCTGTGAACAAATGTTAAGAGTTTTTGACAACCGGAACTTTTAGTTTACCAGATACTAAATCAACTTGTATATCTTCCTGTAAAACCAGACGCAGATGCATGGGAATACTTAATTGGGAGCAAAATAATAAAAGCTGTGCGATGCTGTACCTTGCACAAGTTTTAGTAGCTGGCGTGAACTGATATTTATGAAGTCGAGGTAAATCACAGCTGATTAATTTTTTTCCTTAGAAACATGTAATTTGTTTATTTACCTTTTCAACATTCTTGACTAAATCCATTACTATCTTTTATTTTGAATGTAACAGGAATGAGCCGTCACAGATCTTACAAACTCATTCAGCTTTATAACTATGGCCCTATAAAACTTTATGGGAGACACAAGTAACAGCAGATTATTAAAAGCATATCGAACGTCCACTTTAGTCTCACAACCACTTCCAGTGTTTTGGAGTTACTTCTTATACCCTGTCGTTGGAAAAGAAACAACTACTGTAGCTTCACTTTACCAATGCTTCAATGTAATTTGGAACCTGGTGTAAATATTTGTTTCATATCCCATTGGTAATTAAAGCTCGTGAATAAATTTATAGACTTGATGCTATTTCGTTTTATTTAGTTAATCGTTGTAAGAAACTGGTGAAACACGAGCCTGTGTGCACCTAGTTCATATGTAGTAATTTCAAGTTAAGACAGTTGACTCAGCCGCACATCCCAACAGTCCCTGCGTGTAATCTTAGTTTCTGACTGAAATACCATATGATAAGCAAGCAACGGGAAACCCCTAAGTTCGGGCCTTCTTTTAACCTATTTCAGCCGACATGATGTGTTGCATTAGTACGCTGATGGGTACGCGTTTAAGCCATAGTTGTTTATTGAAATGCCGTCGGATTTCCAATCAATACCTGAGCTACACTGCCGGGTCACTAAGCATCGTGAGGGTATGCGCTCGTCAAAACACAACTACAGGCCCACTCAATGTTCTCACCCCCTTATACGAAATATAGCAAGAAACTCTGTATTTAGTGAATACAATACTTTTATTTAACAAGGTATTAACAAAAACTGGCAACGCAGCAGACGCACATGACGAGATTTGTGTTCATTGATTATCTGAAATAGAGAGTACGAGTATTAGCTTAATAGATGCAATTATAAATACCTAGATTTTGGTTTCCAAAGTACCAGTGAACTTACCATGTTCGGAAACTGCAGCCAGACGCCTCATGTGTATTAATTCATCAACTTGATCTACCAATTGTCTTAGTATGTCCTGCACCGTCGTCTGTCCGAAAAGTGTACTGAGCGTGTGGATTTTACTGCGTAGAGTGCGATAAAGTCTGCTCGTTTCATTATAATCTGGAGACAGAATAGCTGGTATATTTCCATCTACACCTTGGATAGCCTGCCAAGTCCATCTGCAACAGAGCTTCAAAACTAAATCAGCTACTTCATGATACAAAGATGAACATAACATACCTGTGAACTCTGGCATTTGTAGATGAGTAAAAACCGTATGCTTATATGAAATTCGACAGGTTTTAAATAAATGGCAGGTGCAAGTGCCGTTGCTTATATCCACTACCGGACATTAATGGCCGTCTATGAAGAACACAAAGGGTGACTGGCTATTTTCGATGTACAGCAGTCCCCTTTTTTATAGTCTTTAAGGACTATAAAGCCAGCATAGGTGGTTAGCTTGCTTAGTAGAGGCATTAAGCAATTTTCAGCTACGTATCTGCGTTTGTGACTACAGTGTAAGCTGGATTGTACTGACCTACGTTTGCCTAATAGCCTCTGCCATGTAAATGTCTTCCACATACATTTACTCAACGCGTCTCGGTTAGACAACTTTCTCTTCAGTTGCCTGTGCGCACTTTCAACCCGGTTGTTCGTGCTGTTACACAATGTAACGACATTGCTATTGAAAGCTGCGGCACAAGTTTCTTTCCTACTCATCCAGTTCTTGTTTAAGTAGGCTGCGATGCGTCTGCTGCGTACACTGTTTATGCGACGTGTCTGATTAAACTTAGCTACTGTTTGTTCACGCACCAGTTGACATAAGTACTGCTTGATTATTGGATTGCGGGTCTTCTTACACATAGCTCTACACACGTGGAAGGAGCATAGAGCTATGTGAGCAGTACGGTGCGTTAATTCAACAGCCGATATGATGGATCTTGCACAATCCACCACAAACGTTTCCGTTTGACTGGTTCCATTCATAATCTTCTTAAAATGATCCAGTATCCATACTACATCAACCTTCTTCTCTTCCTTGGTCCAAGCAAACATAACTGGGACTCCATGCCCACAGTTATCTGTACAAACCAGCTGAAAGAGTTTGTAACCAAAGACAATTAGTACGCAGGAAAATTTTACTTACTTTCCCCTGTTCGTATTGTATGTTGAATCCAAACACACAACTTCAGGGAACCGTTTGTACGTTACAATTTGCTAGTGTGTGCTAAATGCTATCTTTGTGAGCTGGTTAGCAACACCCCCATAAGAGACGAACAATTTTCCACTGTTCCTTAAGGTTGCAATTACATCGATTAAACTTCCACAACCTAAGAAACTGTAGATAAATGGGATAAGCTTACGTTCGACAAATTTATATTTTAAATTATTGACATAATGCACTGTTATTGTCTTTTCGAAATTTTCTTCTGCATACTTAACAATTGATTCAGCACTACTTCCAGTCTCAACCATCGGTAGAACAACTTTCAACTGATCTTTACTTAGTCTCCTGAACCAAGGATCATTTTTCAGGCACTTTTCATCACAGGAATGGTTATGTATCAGCCTCGACGACGATATGACGAACCGGTTCACAGCATATCGTAAAAGAAACATGGCCTTGCAACCACTAAACTTTGATCTATGAAAATGGAAAACAATAATAATAATCATTTACCCTTTTACTCTCTGACCATAGCCCTCCGGCTTCTTTTTATGGCCAAAAGAACATACATACACTACATACACATAGCGAATTTCCGGCTTTTCTTTGCTCAGCCTGCTTTCACGTACAACATAATAAGTCCAAGTCATTTATCACTTTTTAGATGGTGTATTATCAGTAACAAACCTTTTATTATTATTATTATTATTATTATTATTATTCACAAACATCTTATGGGTACATAAGTGTTGCGAAGGAACCATTTCGGGTTTCTTCAAAAAATGCAATAATACACAATTTTCAATAATGTCAGCATTATACTTGCCATTTAAAAAAAAATTGGAGCAATAATAGTAGAATAATAATAATAATAAATCGGGTCTGTGCAATTGAGAAGAATATTGAATTGAGTTTAAAGAAGGAAATGGAGAGAATAAGGGAATAGAAATAAAGGAGACGTGAAATACGCAAACAGTTTAATTGACGTGTTTATGAACATAAAACAAGAACAAACGACTATGTATATACCGTCAAATTAGTAACAAAAAATATTTAGGAAAAAACAACTTATTATTGTAGTAAGATATGACGCTAGAATAAACGTTTGTGCAGTTATAGTTTGGAGTGATGCGATGAAAGTCTCAATTGAGTGAAAAGGATAATGAAATATCAATATGTATGAGTAGTCATATATACATAGTGAAGATAAAACGGTTCTGAGAAGTTAATTTAAGTGTAACACAACTTATTGTCTTAATTACAAACTTCTTAATCTTAAGAATAATATTTATTTAGAGGGAAAGAAGAGAGAAAAGACGTGAACACTTAGTGAAAAGTTTTGATCCATGATAAGAATAATAATTGTGTAATGAATATCAACCTCACAAGGAAACCAGCAATTGAAAAAATAAAATAAAAATCCTTTAATGTACTCGGATGAATACATTTAAATTTATGTTATAGTATACAGAGTGAAACCGGATATTAGTATAAATATTTGTGCAATAATAATTAAGAATGATGCTATAAAAGTCAAAATTGATTTTAAAGGGCAATCTGGAGTTAAATATGTTTAGAAGGATAAGAAGAGATAAAAAGAATATCTAATGTGTCGGGGAACTAATAATGATATTAATAACTGTAATAATGATAAACATGAACATAAGCAGACTTCATATATTAAGATAAAGAGAAATAAAACAAGATAGATGTGAAAAGACTTAAAGGTTTTATTTTGCTTTTCAAGCAATTAAATGGATGATGGACCTTGTTTGTATAAATCATTATTGAATACATTGATATTCAATAGGTGATATAATCCACTTTCGGAAAGAAAATCTTCAAGCAGACCTCTGAACCGGGTTGTAGTTTCACTGCAACGGAGGTTCACTGGCAGTCTGTTCCATATGGTTGAGTAGCGAATAAGGAAAAAATTCTGACGTAAGTTTGTGTGGGTTCTTGGAATCGCTAGAATATTCTCCTTATTGCGTAGATTGTGGGATGATATCATAAGGTATGAAGGGGTGGATACCGAGGAGTAGGAAATACCGTTAATAAGCCGGTAGATAAAGGCAAGATTTAATTTAATACGTCTGATTTAAAGAGGTTCTAAGTTGAGTTGTTGACATCTTTGGTAATAGTCTTTGTTATCGGAATACCCTAGAACAGCTTTGGTGAACTTTCTTTGAACACCTTCAATTCTAATCAGGTCATTATGTCTACAATTACTGTAAACTAAAATACCATATTCAAGAATGAGTAAGATACATTTTCTGTATAGTAACAATCTCGACTCGATATTATTAAAGTTTATCATTATCAATCCGATCAGCTTTCTAGCTTTGGATACTTGAGATATAATGTGTTCAGAAAAGTTCAGACTATTGCTATATCTTAAACCCAGGTCACGAACAGTGTTGAGAGGTTTGAGTGTATGTGTCTGTACAGTCAGATTTAAGTTGAGACAGCGACCAATGTAAATAAATCCACTTTTGTCAACATTAAGTGGCATATTCCACGAAATAGACCATTCGTACAACTTGTTTATTTCCTCTTGGATTACCGCTGAAATATAGCTTTCTTTCGTGGGAGAAGAGAATCAATAAACTGCTTTCAGGTCATCAGCAAAACGGAAAGGCTTACCATACTGAAAGAGGGAACACACATCATTGATAAAAAGGAGAAAGAGTAATGGACCAACCACACTTCCTTGTATAACCCCACTGGTTACATTCACAGGTTTAGAGTAGCAAGATCCAAAGCGAACGATTTGGCTTCGTTCTTCTAAAAAAAGATTTGAGCAAAGATAAAAAGGGATTCTGTATGCCAAATGAAGAGAGTTTTAAAAGAAGAAGTTTGTGTGAGACACTGTCGAAAGCCTTACTAAAATCGAAGTAAAGAACTATCACTGACTGACCAACATCTCTTCTCTGGGTAATTTGATCAAAAAACTCCAGGTGCGATGTGAAACATGAGCGTTTAGCCACAAACCCGTGTTGGGATGGGCTGATCAGACTAGCCGAAAGTAAAAATGATAATAGCTGTTTGTGGATGAGTTTTTCCTTGGTTCTTGAGAGCATGGACGTCAAATTAATTGACCTATAGTTAATAATATCACTACGTGATCCTGTTTTGAATCTAGGGGTAATAAGGGATGTTTTCCACACATATGGATGGGTCCCATATTCCATAGATAGATTGAAAAGTTTCAAACAAAATAGTGGAAATTCTCTACTTCCATATTTCACAAATGATGAAGGTATCCCATCAGGTCCCCTATCATAAGACATTTTTAGGGCAGCTATGGCCTGCTTGATGTTGGAGGGTGTAAAATCGATTTTCGACAGATGTCTGGATGTCAGCATTGGAAATGTAATGATGGAGTTTTCAGTACCAGTTTTGTAGCACTACGAGAAGTGCTTGCTGAATTGTTCGCAAATAGTATTCGGGTTGTCAACAATGCTTCCGTTAACTATGAAGAATTTAGTCGTGCCAAGGGAATTCGACTTCACACGGGATTTAAAAAGCCGAAGTATTGATAATTCTGGGCTTTTACTATGTAGGGCTTTATTTTCTATATTCATGAAATACTTACGTTTAGATGAAGCATTTCTGTCGATTAATTTAAGTATACTCTGAAGTGCATACACATCCTTCTGCTCATAGTAGCGGTATTTTAATTTCCTCAGCTTTCTTTTAAAAGTATTTTGGCCCCTATTAGCATTATAAGCCACACGGCCAATAACTGGAGCAGTGCAGTCAAGACAATATATCAGGTTGTGGTATAGATTGGAAAGCGCAATGTCAACATCATTTGTGGTAAAATAAGTTTCCCATGGTAACCAGTGAATGAAAGTTTCAGTTCGTTTCCATGTTTGTTGATCAAAATGTCTGCTCTGGTACGTCGTTGAAGCTTTGGAGTTCAATTGTATGGCGTTTAAAGAGTGAATAATACTCAATACAATTTTATGGTCACTCATAAAAAACTCATGACTGGTATGCACTGAGATAGAGTCTATGTTGATTGTGAACATTAAGTGAAGTGTATTATTCCCCCTGGTTGGTTTTCGGACCTGTTGAACCCATCCACAAATTTCTAATGTTTCAACTAGCTTGTTATATCGACCTGGTACCGGAGTCAAGCCCCATGTAAATTTGGCAGATTAAAATCACCTCCGATGATTTTAAAAGTATGCGGTTGGTGCGAAGCAATGGAAAAGATGTTTGTTAGTAATCTGTCAAACTTAGTATCCGCATGAGGTGGTCTATTTATGCATCCCACCAGTAAATAATTTTGGGATCCACAGTTTACAGTAATCCAAGAGGAGTTGTTTATAGCATCAAGTGATTTATCCTCAAATTTGCATGCTTGAATGTCTGAACGGACATAGATAATTGTACCGCCTCCTAATCCATAACATCTATCGGTTCTAAAGAAAACGTAGTCATCTACATTCGAGGAATGATCGGATATAGATGAATTGCACCATGTTTCCGTAATGAGTACAATGATTGGATTTACAAGGAATAAAAGAGTTTTAAGCTGAATAAGTTTATTGGACAGGGAGCGGGTATTGAACGAAAGACTAAGAACCTCAGAGTTATCATATTGAAGCAGGTTAGAGTATAAATCGTAGTTGGTAGTTCCGTGAATACTCGTAGGATTGGCTAAGGTAAGAGTTGTGTTGCGAGGGGAAATAGATTCAACCACTTTGTAATCATGTGAAATATGTTTACCGTTGCCGGCAGGAAAGCCGGCGGAATTACAGAAAAAGTCTTCTCATTGCCATTGGACATAACATCTGATAAAAGGCAAAGTGTACATACTGGGAGCCGGACCAAGAAGGCTATCAGGTCTATGTGTGCGACAAAGTGGCCTTTTACAATTCAACTTACTATTTATACCTGATGTATGGGTACCATGTCCCAGACGTTTACTTCCAAGGTTTTTGGTTAATTTCGGCTTCTTCATAATTTGGAGAGGATCGTGTGCTGTTACACATACTTGGGATGGTTTGCGAGGTTCAAATATACCAGCGTTAACTATGAGGTCAGTTATATGAATGTTATGATTAGTTCTCCTGTTATTCATTGCACAGTTACTGTGACTTGGTGTTGCACCAACAGGGGTTTGGACTGTGTTATCCCATTCGTCATCAGCACAACTACTTCGGGTTGAATCTTTGTCAACATTCTTAAGAGGATGGACACCACCTACATCGGGATTACTTTCTTCTGGGTTTTGAACTTTAGGAGATTCAGAAGAGTTTTTCGGTGGCGGCATACCTGTAAAGCTAGACGTCCTCTTAGAATCGGACTTAATTTTACGATCATTAGGATTACGATGCGTTTGGGAGTTTGACGCTGGTGGTCTGTAGCTATCTCTTCCTGCTTTTCGCTGGCATGTTGTTCTATCCGGAAGAGTTTTGATATCCTTGAAAATCTGTTTTGGTCTCAATGAATTGGGGGAAGTTAAAAATCCACTGGCGCCTACAGATGAGGTGAATTTGAACAAGATCGGTCAGTGCATACCAGGATGACTTATTTTTAATCTTGTGCATACACATGGTACGTGTGTCATATTACTGGCTCTAAGCAGATTAGATTTGATATTTTTAAGGGCATATGTGTCCGGTATATTGAACACAATTGGACTGCTAGATCGTCTTATTCTTTCAAATACCTCTGATGCAACATGATCCAGGAAGTTATT